TGTGTGTGTGTGTGTGTGTGTGTGTGTGTGTGTGTGTGTGTGTGTGTGTAAGTATATGTATTGGATGCAGGTGCCTCCAGACTCAGAAGAGGGAGTCTGATCCCCTGGAGCTGGAATTATAAGTGATTGCAAACTGTCGTGGGTGTTGGGAACTGAACTCAGGTCCTCTGAAAGGACATAAAGCCATTTTAATCACTGAACTTCCTCTGCAGCCCCAACAGTGATCTTTTTAAAGGGTTTTATAAGGTTAATGTTTCAAGTGGGAGCCACAGACTTTTTAATCTGCCTTCTTTTCTTTCATTTTCTTTTCTTTTTTTTTCCTCTGAGACTGTAACTCAAGCCGGCTTCTTGGTCCTCCAATCCCACAGCCAAGTAGGTTACTTACCCGTGCCTGGCCAAACTGATAGATTTTTGTTTGTTTGTTTGAAGATAGGGTTTCTCTGTGTAAGAGCTCTGGTTGACCAGGCTGGCCTTGAACTCACAGAGTTCCGCCTGCCTCTGCCTCCTGAGTGCTGGGATTAAAGGCGTGCACCATCACTGCCTGGAAAATTGATAGATTTGTAAGCAGCTCTGCCTTCTTGTCTGTGACTCAGGAAGAGGTTCTGGCAGTGAGGGTCAGGATGAAGCTGTGGGACGCCTGACTTTTTTCCTGTATGTTTGCAGGCAGTAGTGTCTCGTTTGGCACATGATGCTGTCTGTTGCCATTTTTGTCTCATAGTTTTCCGTTTTGAGGCTCAGTCATTTGAAGTCAGCAAAACTGTAGAAAGACAGTGGATGAATTTGTTGACTCAATACAGATAAGCTGATAGCAGCATTTGCCGCCGAAAATCCTACAGCCCACTTTCAGAAGCGGGAGAAAGAGTGCAGCCTCCCCCGAGCTTTACTGGCATTTTAGTGAATCCACGCTGCTTGTGCAGTGCAGATTTTCATCCTGAGAATGGGAAGAGAAATCTTCCCAAGGAGGCTCAGGTCCCTCTACATAGCAACGATGGGAATGTCTGGGGCAAATATGCCCATTTGCAGCACCACTGGGTGACAAAGTTCCCCTGGGCTTAAGAGCATTAAAGACTGGAAAGGAATAAAATGGGGGCTTTGAATGAAAATGATGCCCTGGGGTTTCTCATTGTCAAATCATCACCACTCTTTTTTATTTTAATGCCGAATGCCCTTTATTGAAGGAGGGAGGAGGTCTTAAATACAGGCTTACAGCACAATGGGAGAACCCCGGAGGGCAGATGTTTTACAATCTTGCATCTAAGGTGTTAATGCCTAATATGCATGATACACAGACAAAGAACTTCCCTTAAGCATTCAGGAGGGTGGAACCCGGCAGAGAATTAGCATAGGGAGGATATCAAGGTCAAGGGCAGCAAGCAAGGCAACAGTTACCCAAAACGGGGGCCAGGGCCCTATACGTCCCTCTTTTATGAGCTTCTGACTTAGGTTGCGTGAGACGTCAGCAGGTCACCTTACCCGTCATGGAGAGGCCTTCCCAGGCCACACAGGCGCTCTGTCTTAGGTTGTCGTCACTACTCTCTAAAAGATGAAAATTTTTAACATAATAATCATGTTGAGGTTGATTCATACAATTGCTCCTTGTTTTATTTTTAAGTAACTTTAAATAGGGTCTGACGATATAGCCCTGGTAGGCCTAGAGTTAATTGTGTAGACAAGGTTGATCTTGAATTTGCATCCATCTTCCTGCCTCTGCCTCTGTAGTGTGGAGGTGATAGGTATGAGCCATACCCAGCTTGTTCCTCATTTTATATTAGTGTGTTTTGTTTTGTTTGTGGTGGGGTATTACTGCATAGCTCAGGCTGGCTTTGAACTCCTGGTCTTCTGCCTTAGCTTCCAGGATGCCAAGCTGCATGCACCACCATGCCCTCCAGTTCTATGTTCCTAAATTCTTTTTTCTTAAAAACTTGCTGTTATGTGTGAATAAAGTACCTCCTTTTTGTGCACGTGAGTGTGTGTGTGTGTGTGTGTGTGTGTGTGTGTGTGTGTGTGTGTGTGTGTGTATGTGTGACAACTTTGAAGAATCAATTCTGTTCTTCCACCATGGCATCTGAGGGTAAGCTCAGGTTCTCCAGCTTGCTTGGCCCTTTACACAAAGCCTTCTTAGCAGCCCTGTGTTATCTTGAAACATTTTTACATCCTCTTGTTAGAGAAGAATTGTGCAGACTGAAAAAGAACACATTCAAATGGCCAGCAGCAACACAGCTTCTTGGTGGCTGTGAGGTTTAGTTGACTGTGGAGTGGGTTGTTATGTGTGGTTGTTTGTTTTCACACTTGTTAACCCCGGGTTGTTTTTTTTCTGGATGTTCAAAATCAACCCACAATGGTAGGACAAGGAATAAAAATGAATAACAGAGATCCAAGGTGCTTACCTCCTTTAAAAGGACAAGAATCATTTCTCTAGACCCATGAGAGTATCTGCTCATGTGATTGACATGACTTCTAGTTTTCTGGAGAAATCATACATTTAGTTTTCTGTTAAAACCTTTGAAAGCGGACAAATAATTCAAAGCCCTATTTACTATATGCCATTGAGTAATACGCCTCTCCCTAGTATAACTTTTAATTTTATACTTGTAACTGCTCAAGAGCCCAGGGAATTCAGCTATCACCCCAGAGTTGACAACCAAAGTGATGCCTTGTGTTCACCTCCCTGTCTGAATCAGCCTTAGCCTTCCGGTCACTTGGACTCAAAACATCCAGTACTTTGTCTCCCCGTGGCTTTCCTAGGTAGCTGTGTAAGCCCCTTCTTGCTTCCTGCTCTCAGCCGTCCTCTATCGACTTCTTCCCTTCCTCCGTCTTAGAGCAATATACAGCTAGGTTAATCTTCTTGATAACTGTTTTGTTTGTTTGTTTCTGTGTTTTGAGGCAGGGTCATAATGTATAGCCCACACTGTCTTTGAACTCACTGTGTAGCTCAGGTTGGCCTTGAGTTCCTGGTCCTCCGACCTCAGCATCCTGAGTGCTAGAATTTAAGGTGTGCTTTACCACACATTGTTTTTCATATTCTTTCATTGTTTCCATACTCAGGAAGTTCTGTACCCACCAACTTCTCTGCCTAAATCTCAAGGTTTCAGTGGTGTTTTTAATCATCACAGTCTGACGTTTTCCTGTGGGACTGCCTCGCCTGTTGTTCCACCAAGACCAACCTGCTTCCGGTCAAGCCCTCCTTCCGGTCAAGCCCTTCTTCCTGTCAAGCTCTCCTCCTGGCCCTCAGCATTGGCTGCTGATATCGCATGGGCTCTGGATGTTACGCAGCACTTTTAAAATGTCTTTCCTCTGTTAATCATTTGGGGTAAAGTGAAGATTGAAAATGAATTATGCAGCTGCATCTCCATTCACCTTGCTTGGTTTGGTTCACGTGCCGTTAGATACGCGTGTGTCCTGTCATTCATTTGGTTACTTATCAGCTGGCCCAATCTGTTGTTTAATTGGTGGACTTCACTATTCAAAATAATCTAAAGTAACTTCTTGTTCTAGCAAGTTATTTATAAAATTCATGAAAATGCATTCTCTTGCCTTTCTCCTTCATGTTCTTTTTTAAAGCATTGTGTTTAGGCTTCTTGATACAGCACATATCACCTAGAACGGTGGTTCTCAACCTGCGGTCATTACCTCTTTGGGGGTCCCATGTCAGATATCCTGCATATCAGATGTTTACATTATGATTCATAACAGTAGCAAAATTACAGTTATGAAGTAGCCACGGAAATACTTTAATGATTGGCGGCCAGCACAACAAGAGGAACTGTATTAAAGGGTCACAGCATTAGGGAAATTGAGAATGACTGATTTAGAATTACAGTTGTTAATGAGAGACCCAAGTTCTGTAAAGCGGCCCTTGCTGGTTTTGTATGATTCCCCAGTAGTTAATACCATGTCTAGCTTATTCTGAGCACTCCACACAGTAAAACCTTGATGTTTTCTGATACCCTGAGTCTATGAGAAATCTCAGGATCTGTGACTGTCGCAGTAATTGAGACATAAATATGGAATGGTTGTTCAGCTAAGAGATTTGTACCTAAACAGAATCCTGTCTGTATTAGTCTACGTTCTAATGGAAGCGTCTCATATGCATTATTTCACTCAGCGGGACTACTCTGAAGTAAGTTATAAATTATTCTTTATGGGCTTTAGGGTGGCTTGACAAATGTGTAACTTTGAGCGAGTTTAGATGGGCAGATAGATGGATGACCAGGGAAACAAATGGCATGTTTCCTCAGGACTGCGCATTCCAATTCAGAGTACGAAACACCCGGCCCACCACGTTCAGTAGGTGAACCTGGGAACCAAAGACGAAACAACTTGAAATGAGATGCAGCTGCATAATTCATTTTCAGTCTTCATTGTTTAGCCCTTCCTTCTCTCAGGAAAAAAACAAAAAAGAAACACTTGACTTGGAGAGTGGAGAAGACTCTTGATCTCGGTAGGAATCGATTGCACTTAATTCTTCTATTCTTTCTTCTTTACCAGGTGATGGCTGTGGGCACATAGTGACCTCTCAGGACAGTGGCACAATGACATCTAAGAATTATCCAGGGACTTATCCCAATCACACCGTGTGTGAAAAGATCATCAGAGTCCCCAAGGGGAAGAGGCTCATCCTGAGGTTGGGAGATTTGAACATTGAGTCCAAGACCTGCGCTTCCGACTATCTTCTCTTCACCAGTCCAACAGACCAGTACGGTAAGGAAGGAGGTGTGGGTTCCCTGAGTGTGGAGGAATGGAGCTGAGAGACCAGTATGGTAAGGAAGGAGGTGTGGGTTCCCTGAGTGTGGAG